TCCCTTAATGAACATTGGACATCCCAATTGTATGTGTAAAGCAAATCATACTCTAAAATTTCCTCATGAAACACAAATATATGAAAATACATCTACAGTACTATTATGTACATGTCAGTGTGTGTAAATCTGCAGCCATAGTGTTATGGTCTGATTACTCTATTGTGTTTACTGTATCAGTATCAAACTGTTCATACTTTTATATGCAACACAGGAAACTCCTCATGCAAGATAATTCACAGAAGAAAACTTCAAACTGATGTAGATATAACATGAATTGCCCATTAATAATCAGAAATAGGAAATGAAATTATGGGCTTCTATGCTTCTGCCACTGTCATTCATAGTTTCGGATAACCTATGCTCTAGTGCAGTGATCCCCAACCTTGGGCCTCCAGATGTTCTTGGACTTCAACTCCCAGAAATCCTGGCCAGCAGAGATGGTGGTGAAGGCTTCTAGGAGTTGTAGTCGAAGAACATCTGGAGGCCCAAGGCTGGGGACCACTAGTGTTAACCATGGCTGAGCCCCAGCATTGGTATGTTCAAGTTACAATTTAAAATTCTGAATGAGGAACCTCGATTTTCACCACTACCTTTGATGTACATTCAACAACACAATTACTACGTTCAAGGTTTTCTGGTGCAGTGGCATCTAGGCCATGTTTCAAATAAACAAGTTTACAGTTTAAGCTGCCACCTAATAATTTGATGTATACAACTTTTTTCAGCATATTATTACTGGGGAAAAAAGAAAAAGGAAAGTCTCCCTCTTTTTTTTAAAGGACACCTATCTATTTTTAAGTCAACAGTTTCTGTGCAAAGAGGGAGAAAACACAACCCGATGATGCATATCCAGGCCTTCAATGATAAATAAGCACAATCAAATGTTCTATCCATACTATTACTTGGCACATGCCATACAGTTCTATCAGTACAAATTAGGGTTTTGGCAGCCAAGATTTTGACTCTTCTTAGGAGGTTACATATTTGACTCCAACATGATTTTGAAGGGACCAATTTTTTTTCCTATGCAATTTTCTCACTGAATATTCCTTCAATAACAGCAAGTCCAGATGGAAACACGGATTTAACCTATACTAAGAGTGAATAATTCAGTTATAAGAGTTACTCCAGGAAATATATTCCCTCAATTAATAAAGTAAATCCATCAGTTTCTTTCAGAAGAAATCCTTAGTTTAATCACAACTGCATCTATGACATACTGTTTCCTTTCATGTTGCAAAACAGTGTTCTGAATACACCAAAAATCTGTATGTTGTTATCTCTGCTAGAAACATGATTATTGAAAGAATGAATAAAGATGGTATCTATTATCTATGTTCTGAACTTAAACCAAAAAACCATTATTCATATTTACTGTCTTTCAGACAAAAACTACAGGACTCATGCAATGTCCAAAGAGGACTGTGATTTCATGACAAAACATCTCAAGTAGCTTTCAGAGTTTACGCCAGTTTGGGAATGATATTCTGGGCAAACTGAAGACCTGGCGAAGTAGCAATCAAAACTACACTACACTGTGTGGGAGCAAAGTGTTCCTCCAGATGCAGCTGGATTATACAACCCATCAGCAGTAACCACCATAATGAGTGGTGAGGCATGATGGCAATTTGATAATGTAGCAAGATCTGTCCATCTCTATGTTACTTTATTTTAATGGCTTTCCCCCATTTCAGAACTCAGAATGGGGCAAATTTGAAAGTGAGCATAGTGATATAAACACAGCTGGCTTCAGATCCCACCATGAATTTATGTAATAATTCAGAGTGCTACATTTGAACCAGGCCAACAGGACACAATAATCAGCTTGCTTCCACACCAAAGAGATGCACCGACGTTGGATATGCTGTCCAGTGTTTGTACTACAAGGGTTTTTTTGATGCATGCCAAGACAGTCCATTTAGCTAGAAAGGCACAACTGGTATGGATTTGCATGTCACTATTTAACAACTCTGAAGTAGTATTGCCAGCTCATCATTAATAAAATGAACCCTAATCCAATGTAATCAATCTGACACCAAATCAACATTCTGCAGTGTCACTTCAATTTAAGGTAGTTTTCCTTCAGCAATCCAGAAGGAAAGATTCCCTTGCCTGCCACAGTCTGTCATTTGCTCCTCCACTTATACAACATCATTTTGATGGTATAGATTTGTCACCCATTACATTTTTCTTTTCTTTTTAGATATATGAGCAAAAGCAGTCTCTCTCACTGTGACTCTCCACAAACACGAAACTCTTTGATAAAGCAGAAGCTCATACAGGAAGTGAGGTGGATGGTGATTTCTGCTGATTCTCTTTCCCGGGGCTGCCCTTGGGACTTTCCATATCTATTCCAGAAGGTTGGGGAAATCTTTGAAATACCACAGATGGTGGCGCAAAGTGCTACCGCAGAATTAGAAAATCTGCATATCCTCCCCCTTTCCCTGCACAGAAACCAACCCTAGTGGTTTTTCAGAAGCTTTAGGGATACAATTTGTTATAACTCCAAATGCTAAAACAATGCAATTTATTATAAACATTAGCATTAACATAATTATAGATATTGTGCATTAATATATAACATGGAGCATTTGATGAAGTGGCAAGCAATTCACAAAAGCTTAACATCAAATTTGTAAATCCTAAAGGTGCCACACGATACTTCACTGATTTTGATACAAGACTGACATGACTCCCCTGCTTGAAAGTCTACATTTGACCTGTAACCCTTACAACAATCCAATATGGATGACCATTCAGGTTCACAGGTAGAATGGTTTGCCAAAGACTACCAAGCT